TGTTGAAATGTAGACTGAGAAGTCCAGGGGCACCTAAGAGCCAGCTATTGTATTTATGCACTTTTTACACATATATGTGTGGTCCTTAGTACAGCCTGAAAATAGGAATTATTATCCTAGTTTTAAAACAGAAGAAAGTAAAATCCAGAGAGGCTTGAAGTATTTTGCCCAAAGTGGCCCAGCCAGTACTTAGAGATTTTTTTAAAACCAAGTTGCTTTCCACTATTCCCTAGGAAAACTAAGTAAGTAAATACATGAATAAATAAATATTTCCCCAAAACACATCAAGAGTGTACTCTTTTTTTAACATTCTGACTATTCACAACTTCAAAGTCATTTATTTATATTAATCCACAATCATTAAGCCAGGGAGTAAAGTTCATGTTGCATTAGGTTATCTCAAGTCTTAAGAGACAATAAATTATAAAGATTCAGTAAGTTGAGAAAACTTGATAAAATGAAGACTCCACATCATCTCCCTGTGTCTATACATGTAAGTTGTTTTACCTGGTTTCCAGGTCACCAGCTAAGACTATCATTAAGAAGATGCTAATCTTCTGATAAAGGAGGTGCAACAATGAGAAGATAAAAACTACACATAAGAAAAACAAAAGCCTAAGCAAACCAAAGCATGTCTTGCAAGGAAATCTGACACCAAAGGCAAATGCTTTTTAGCAAATAATAACTGACAGGCCTTTTGGGGACATTTTCCAAACAAAAATGTACAAGAGATCACAAAAATAAGACAAAACAATTTTTATAAATCCTTTATTTAGAAGGCATTGTTTATTACAGTTTTAAAAGTCAGTAGGGTTTAATATGAGTTTTTAAGCCTCTAAATGAACACCTTCATTTTAAATGTTCAATGAAACCCATTTGTCTTAGGGGTACGCTGGTAGAAATTGGAAATGAGCGTGTTAGTAGACGAGCTAGTCTTGCTCCCTTTTACATACATATTTAAAAAGAAAATTATTTTCCAAAGATATATATGAAGCACTATAAAATAATATTCTAAACCAACTGTTTTAATTTTATATCATTAATAAGATTTTTTTATTATATATATATCTATATATCTGGCACCTTAATTGCTTTAAAAATGGTTTTGGGGTTTGCAATTTTTTTTTATAAAACTACAATGAAAATCAAAGACATCTATTTTACAGTGATCAAGTCTCACCTAAATGTAAGTTTTTCATACTCCACTTATTTTGACCACAGAAGGAAAATAGTTTTAAATTGTTCTTCATGTGAATTACACACACACACACACACACACACACACACACACACGAAACAGGGAGCTGAATCCCCTTGAGCTGAGCTCGTCCATTGGACCGTTTCATTTGAGTGATCTGGGGAGAGAACGGGCTCTCTTCCACGGGCCACAATGAAAGCATGAGCACTAGTTAAAGAGAAAAATGCCACTGTTCACATAGTCACTATTGGTGAATTTTTGTCAAAAGGCCCAATTAGCTCCTTTCTCCACCTGCCAAGGCTTGGCAAAAATCAAGCTAGCTACAAAGTAAGACAACTGATCTTTTTAAAAAATTCTATTTTAAAATTATTTTGCTCAAAAAACTAAGACTCATTGAACTTGGGTTTTATTGGTATATACTTGCTATTGAATTTGGTCTATATTTCAACTCACCTCTCCCTTAAAAACACAACCAACAGGAAAGAATAAAATAAGAGAGAAAATGTACAGATGGCCATCTAAATCATAATCAATCATTCAATACTAAGGAATAGAGCAGGTACCAGGTAGCTAAACTACCAAATATAGGCTCTTTTACATAAGGTCCAAGTTTTTATTAGAAGGAACAAAAGAGGTGATTTCCATTTTCCTGCCACGTGTTGTCTCATCAGGGTGTGCTGAAGTATGAAATTCCTATAAGTATATTTATCTGCAAAAATATACTTAGCACTATTATACACAATGTCTCCTTTTGGATGGTAAACAAAGTAGCCCAAAGAGAAATCTAAAATGTCATAACCTGGATAATTCATATTGGAGAGAAAATCAGCCAAAGGTATATGTATTATGGCTTCTGTTAAATATTGCCAAAGGAGGAGGAGGAGGAGGAGGAGGAGGAGGAGGAGGAGGAGGAGGAGGAGGAGGAGAAGAAGGGAAGGAAGGAAGGAAGGAAGGAAGGAAGGAAGGAAGGAAGGAAGGAAGGAAGGAAGGGAGGAGGGAGGGAGGGAGGGAGGGAGGGAGGGAGGGAGGGAGGGAAGGAAGAGAAAGAAAGAAAGAAAGAAAGAAAGAAAGAAAGAAAGAAAGAAAGAAAGAAAGAAAGAAAGAACGAACTCCCTTCTTCCTCCCCAAGAGTGGATTTCCATCTCTGAGGGGTTTGCCTTTGGGGATTCCTACTGAAACAATAAGGTAGGAAGCAAGAGAAAAATAAAAGGGTTAGGATCCTGACAACCATTTTCTCTGCTCTGGGTTTTGTAGGCCATCTTGTTCCTATAAAAGCCAGGATGTCTCAGTTTTTCCCAACTAGGAAGACCAATGTCCCTTAATCAAACGACCAGCAGAAAAAAAAAAAAAAAAAAAAATGTCAGACAATTAACTGATGCAAATTCAGAGTGACCATTACTGCAGTGCTATGTTATAGGAAAAAGAACAATGGTCAGTACTAGAAAGTAAAATAATAGCGTTCTATTTTTAAAAACTTTAATCCACACATTTGCTCTCATTATAAAAGCTAATCTTATTTTTGGTCATTTTAAATCACTAAGAAAGAAGAGAGATAGCCTGATAAAGAAACCTACACACGGGGGTAGGGGTGGAGGGGAGACTGTCATTTTTACCCAAGGGTTTCATGCAACATTTAGGGCAAACGCCTTTGTTCCTCCACCTCGTAAGGGAGTGGGTGGGTGGGTGATGGAGAGATCAGACGCGGCTGCCCGGGCCCTCCACACCCAGCTCTCCCGCGCATGCGCGAGGCCAAGACAAAGGAATAGGTAATTACAGTCCGGATTCATTCATTTTGCCCGCAGCACTGGGGATCTGTTGGCCCCGGCTGTAATCCCGAGGGAAAGGGGCTGAGGGTGTTGGTCCACACCCCTGTGGTAGGAAGACCACCTCCACGCTGCCAGTGTTTGATTGTAACCTGCCGCGTACGTGCTACTGGCCTCGCGGGAGACCGAGGTGTGTCAACCCCGTTCAAGGTACTAAAAATGCGCCCATGTGCGCTGTGCTCATTTCAGCAGGATGGAAAGTACACAAGCAAGGGCTGTCCACGGAGTCCGTCTCAAGGCGGAAATCTCTCTGGGGAAGCAGCTCAGGAGCTGAGCCAAGCATTCGATGAATATTCATGAAAAGAATGCGGTTGGTTGGTAGCCGCACGTAGTGGGTGCGATCCGATCCAGGGATTCTGCAATTTACATTTTTCGCGGGTGGGGGTGGGGGGGGGGAAGGAACAGGAACCGAGCGTCGGGTTTCAGGGTTCCTGCTTGAGGCAAAACCTGTTAAACCCCAAATCTGTGCTCACAGAGGGGCTGGGCCCCTTAGGGGCCAAGCTCGGTCAGGTTCAAGCTCACACCCTCCGGGCCGGGGCAGCGAGTGAAGGCACCAGGTGCTTTCTCTGAACCGAAGACTCCAAAAAATTAAATGCTCAGAGGGGCCCACGGGTTAGTGGGAAAGCAATTCAGCCCCGTCCGAGCCTGGGGCTTTGATCCACTCAGATGTACTTCTGGAGGCACGTTGTCCTGTGACCCTCGCATTTCTTGGACACTCGGAGCCAAGACTCAGGAGTCCCACTGGCCAAGGAAACCCATTTGATAAAACCCAAAGCCACCTCCTTCCTCCGATCAGACCAGATTCCCCATGTTCGCTCCCCGCTCACTCCCGCCCCACCCCACCCCCACCCTCCATCTTTCACTGCTGCGCCCCTCGCACCAGGCGCTTTCTTCCCGCGGTGGAAGGTTCCGATGACAGAGACGCTCCCTTCAGCCCCACAAAACCGGCTCTTTGGGACTCCGTGCGCTCAAAGGGTTTCGTTCATCCGGCATTTTTTTCAATTAGCAGCTTCTCTCCCGCTACCCACCATCCCCAGCCCCAACTCCGTTTATCAGGCTCGCCATCTCCCTCCCACCCCCCACCCCCCATCCCCTCCACCAAGCGAGTGGCTGAAGCCTCACCTGGGAGGGGGGCGGCGGGGGTTCACCCCAGATCCCCGAAGTGCGATGGAGCCCTCGTGGAGGGACCCCGTGCCCCGTGGAGGGATCCCGAACCCGGCCCTGCCCATCCACCACCCACCCACCCACCCCAGCTGCAGCGCGGAGTGGGGAGGACGGGCCCGAGGAGCCGGGCGTGGCGCCGTAGGGGAAACGGAGGCCCCGGGGTTGCCGGCACCTTGGGTCTTCGGTGGCGGTGGAAACGGGGCCAGGGCCACCCGGACGCGCCTCCTTACCGGCTCTGGGTGCCTGTGCCGCCCCTGGGTGAACGCGGTGCCGCCGAGGGGCCCGGGTTGCTGGCGTCGTCCGGCCGGGTGGCTGGCCGCTGGCGGAGGCTCTCTCTCCCGCTGGACGGCGGAGTCCGAAGCGAGGAGCCAGTTGGAGCGCTGCCGCCGCCGCCGTCGCCGCTGCCGCTACTGCCGCCGCTGCTGCAGCCACTGCATTTCTTGCGCTCGCGCTCCCCCTCCCCTTCCTGCCCAGCGCCCTCCCCCCGCCGCGTCCGCCAGCCCAGCCTCCCTCTCCGGCTACCCCGCCCGCCTCCCTCCCCCTTCCCCTCCGGCTCGGTGCCCCGCCCGCCTCCCCTCAACTCCCCTCCACTTCTGTGCGCTCCCGAAGTCCCCTCCCCTCACCCTAGCCCCTAATCCATCCCATCCCAGTGGTCCCCCCTTTCCCCTCCTCTCCATCCCTGTACCCCTCCTGCTTCTCTGGATCTGCCTTCTATCTGGGTCTCCCACTCCCTCCCCACCACTCTCCATTCTGGGGCCCACCGCCCGGTGCCTCCCCTCCCCCGCTGCGCTGGGCTGCCCGTGGGTGGGTCTCTCTCTCTCTCTCTCTCTCTCTCTCTCTCTCTCTCTCTCTCTCTCTCTCTCTCTCTCTCTCGGCTGGCTAGAAGTGACCCGGCTATCGCTCAGACTTAAGGGGCTGCCTGGAGGTGATGAATAATGCCCTGCCACCTGCTACCCAGCTCAGCACCCCATTCCCTCCAGCTGGCCACATTGGGCTGATTCTGACAGCCTGGCAGACAGTGAGGTTGGGGGTGACCTGGTGGCTTCCCCTCAGCCCTTAAGGACAGATGTCCGCGAGGTGGAGGGTGGCCCCCATCGCTGGCACTTCTGGGAGGCGCCCAGCAGACCGGGCGCCCTGGGTGGGCGGCTCCCGCGCGCGCACTTGGTTGAGCCAGGACGGCTGCCGCCTCAGACCAGCGCCACGGCCAAGGTCCAGCTGGCGGGGCGGGCTTCGTCGCCCTGCGAGGATGCTCTCTAGACTTGAGAGAGAAGGGAAAGAAAAGGCCCCGAGGAAAGGAACCTTCGGGATTTTGTGTGTCTGTGCGTCTGTGATTTAATGGAGGCAACCAGTTCTCGGAGAAGACTGGGTGAGCCGAGGCAACGCGCGCGGGAGCGCACAAGTCAAAACGGGGCCAACTAAGGCGTGTGGGGGAGTCCTGGGGACTGCCACCTGGTTAACACCAACCAGGGCACAAAACAGCCCCCCGGGTGGGGAGAGATGCTCACCTTGCTTATCTGTTGGCAAGAAGCAAATACAAAAGATAACATAACGTGATATGGCTTACAACGGTGGCTCTTTCATCAGCCAATTTCACCTTCCCGCAACACGCGTGCGAACCTTTGGAACTTTCATTTGCGGCATTTTGGCGCCCCCTGGCCGTGTTTGGATTGCTCTCGTGCTCGCCTGTATCCCAGCAAAGAAAAGGACTGAGTTGCAGGTTTCCCTCCCGGGTGGATCTGCCCTCCTGACCTGGGCCTCCATTCGATCAGGGGCAAGGTTGTCCTCCAAAATCGGGATGACAAAACGCATATTGAGGGGGACCGACGCCAAAGGCAAGTGCATCCGCATTCAACCTGGAAGAGGTAAGCCTATTTTTGATTAACAGGAAAAAACCTTACCTGAACTTAACTGCATTTCAGTGGGGTGGCCATGTCAACCCAGTTCTCTGCCAGAGGTTTTGTGGTGGAAATACCCAACGGAGCAGGTATTTACAGCTTACATGAGGCTGCACCAAATGAGACAAACGCATGCGAGCTGGAAATGTTCACATTTTAACCAAAGGGCGATATGGGCAAAGTAGGGATTTTGTTGGTTTGTTTTTTTCTTCTTTCTTCTTTTTGCCATTTAAATGAATAGCAAATAAATATCATACAAGAACAGGAAAGCAACTCGCAACTAGGGTTGCCTCCAAGCTATTTACTTGAATATAAATACTTATTCAATAATTTAATATGTTCAATATGTGTCCCTCATTCCAACACACCATCTATGAAGCTAGATGCAGGGTTTCTCAACTTCTTGCTTTGGGCTGATCATTTTCTGTTGTTGGGTGCACTGTAGAGTGTGTAACATCATTGCTGTCCTACCCACTAGTTACCAGTAACACACACCACCACCACCACATATGTTCCACAGTTATGACAATCAAAAATGTCTCCTGACATTGCTAAATGTCCCCTGGGAGGCAAAAATCACCCCAAGTCGAAAAATACTGGGCTATTAAATTTTAAACCATTGTGAGCAAGTCTCTAGGTTTTTACCCTGTCCAATTAGGTGAGCATTTGCAATTTTATACTCAAGGCATTTATTGAGTATATTTGTTAGGGTATCAGAGTAGTTAGTTATTTCATTTAGCATTCCATTTTTAGCCCTGTGATCTTACAGGCATGAAAATCTTCTTAAAATTAGTATATATATATATATATAGTCTTATTGTGTTTGTATTATAAGCCACCAGATGTCATGTTCTGTTTTCTCTTTTACCAATTTTTCAAAGAAAAAAAGACAACATAAAAATTAATTTTTGGTGTACCTTCAGTGCTTCTGGCTAAATTTTCATGACAGGGAAAACAAGCCTTTCAAGGGTGTGATTGGAATACAGATCATGGGTTTCCACTGAAATGAGAGGCAAAAGCTTACACCAGTGAGACTGGGGTCTCCTCAATTTTGTCTTCCATCAGATTTAGCTGTTCTCTTAAAATATTTTAAGGCATTCTGCTTTAATTAAATAATGATGAAACTGGCTGACAATGCTATTAGCTTAAAGAATGGAACCTTTTCCAGAACTCATAAACATGTATCAAATGGTAGCCAAAATATTTCATTGCAGTACAGTACTATATAAAGTCCAATTTGGTGATATTTTTAGTTGTTCATCTAAGATCTTTTGAAACACACACCTAAGGAATTAATGACTAAGCATTTGAAGCTCTGCAGTATAGAAAATTGTTAATATTACCTATTGTGGATGTCACTGGCTATTGAGATTATGGACCTGGGAGCATATATTAAAGATGCAAATTCTAATAAATTAAATTACCTTTCAAAATTACATCATGAAAATAAAAACTGTTTTACTCTCCAAATGAAATCAATATATTTTAATAAACAAAGCTGGACTTTCTGGGTTGTGAAGTGAATTCCATTGTCATTTTCAATTACCTACATAATTGGTTTCGGTGAATCCTAACCTGCACTATGAAAATATTTATCAAAAGGATACATTACTCAGTGACTACTGATTTTCACTAAAGTATTCGCCATAGAATTGCTTGCAATATAATGGACTTATCATCACCTAAGCTACTAGTCAGTTTAGCAAAACTTTGGTATGTGTTCGCCTTTTCAAATAGTCCCTGTTATGTGTCAATGGAGAGTCCACAATAATCCTTTAGAGCTCATCTCACCTCCAAAACTCACCCACAACTCCCCTTTCCTATCTTCCAAATCACCCACCAACGCCTGGCATCCTCCTCAGTTCCCCATACTTTCCTCCTAAATAGTAAAAAGAGGATTAATGTCCCCAATAAAAGATGCAGACCAACATGAATGAAGCAAAAGCCTCGTGACAGCATCGTCACCCCAGTGTTACCACCGCCACCTTTGCTGGGCATCGTCCTGGCTGGCTCCTGTTTAAGGCCACGGAATTAGCCGGAATACCCTGAGACCCATGCAGAGAATTTAATAAATGTAGCTCTACTGGTAAGTGTTGGCTAGAGGACTGAATTGTCTTGAGTTTGCTCACAAGATCTCATCTACAAATTGAAACCTCAATCAAGGCCAGATAGCCGACATTATAGTATAAAAATGTACAGCTTTTCCCCACTAAATATATTTATAATTTTTAACCAAAGACAAATATTGAAATCTGTATAGTCTTTATTTCATCTTTCTCCCTTCTTACAACCACCTCCCCCTGCTCCCTCCATTATTACAGCCTCACCATTCACATAGCCCGGAGAAAGACTTTCTCAGGTTCACTCAGCAGTCCCCAAGCAGGGCAGTGGTAATATCTGGAGGCATTTGGAAGGAAGGGAACATAAGAGAGCAAAGTACCACTGGCCTCTGATGGATAAAGATCAGGATTGCTACGCAACATCCTACAGTGCACACAGAGCAGCCCCTCATCAGGCAATTATCCAGTCCAAACTGTCAAAAGGAGTGTGAGAAACCTTCGTTTCAAAGCCCATGCCGTGGGGAAATGCCTGGTTTTTGTGCAGTGCTGCCAAGGGAATTGCCTCTCGCTGTGGTTCAGGTGTCTTCAGCAGGCAGCTGGTTGGGAGGCACAGAGATGAGCAGAGTTCTCCTCTGGGCAGGGGCCTGCTCTGTGCCCTGAGCCCTGTACTGACCACCTTCCTGGACTGGAGCCCAAATCCAGGCAGTCACTGCAGAGCAGTGCCAAAGATTAACACCGGGGATTGTGGATTCCACTCTCTGTTACTACCCGCTGAGCCACTGGAGGAAAACAGATGAACTTGGGTTCCCTGGTTCACGTCCCTCTTTATGTTCTGTGAAAGGATAGCAGGGAACCTGAGAAAACGTGTGTTTACTATGAAGCGTTGGCCTTGAAATGGAAGGAGCAATCTGGCCTTGGCACGAACACTAGGAACATTTTTGCCCAGGATAAAAGGCGGCTGAAAAGCAACCTTAGACTCTGCCTGAAGAGTTCTCATTCCCAACTCCATTCTCCCTGTCATCGCCCTCAATTTCCAAAGTACTCTCTCTACTCTCCAGCGCTTTCTATTCAGAAAACACACAAAACCAGTGACAGACGGATGTTTCCTCACTAGCCAGCAAGGGCTCTTTCCAGGCAGTGCCTACCTGTTCCTACAGACACAGGGCCTGGGATTAGAGTAAGGGAGCTCAGTGTTGGGAAAACAGTGCTTAATACTTTGGCTGCCCTTCCCCCGTCATCACCCACTAAACCCTTCAAAGAACAAGTTACTTTACAGTGGCTAAAGAATTCTGTAGAACAATTGTTCACGTGGCTCTCGTCCTGAATACATGAGATTGTAGAGGCTCCGGTGTTCGATAGCACTGTCTCGTCCCATTCCTTGTCACTACCCTATTCTTCTCTCAGATCAGCCCCTGCTGGTAATGAAAATGGTTTAAACTTAACTCCAATGCAGGGAATGGCGCCCAAAATAAATTGGTAAATGAACGAGCAAGTTGCCAAACAGAATGCAGAGGATGCATAACTTTTGCTGTGAATTAGTGAGGGGTGCTGTTTTCCCGATGACTCCAAGTGCAAATGCTGTCCAACATCTGCTTAGCTCTGCTCTGTGGATAGACTCCCAAAGACTCGCAGATGCCAGAACCCAACTGCACCAGGAGCCTCCTCAGGTAAGCTCAGCTCAATGTCAGGAAGAAGGACTTCTCTCCAAACCAAAAAAAAGTAAGACAATGAGAAAGGAGAGAGCCAGGCTTAAAGTGTACTAAGGGAAAAGCTGGCATAAACAGTTGAGGATATCTAAACAAACAAAACCAAAAGAGAAAAGCAGCTACTGTGTCAGCAGTTTGCGGGGTAACCCAATGCCATCTATGAAAATGAGGCAGCCTGTCACCGTGATGGACCATGGTATTTGACACAACAAGAAAATCACAGTTCTTGTTCCTGTTCCTGAAGGATTTGGAACAAAATAAAAAATAATAATAAAGCAATTTCATTGCAATTAAAATATTTGATCTAAATCAAACAACAAAGAAAGATGTCAGAAACAACTTTTTAGGTGCCTAAAGCAAGTTGAACAGGTGGTATGAAGTTGTTTCAGTGTGCTCTAAACCAACACACAGGGGAATGTTTGCAGGATTTTAGCCCCATCTGTCGCTCTCACTGAGAACTGGAGTCATGTCAGAGGTGGGGTGGAGGCTGCTCAGCTTTCCAGTATCATGAACGAGTGCTTTTGCAATGACCATTCGTTACTCTGAGAAGAATATATAATTTTGTGCGTTGTTCAGGAGACCTGTTCCGGGCTGAGAAATCACTGTTTAGGGATTGCCTCCTCATCAGCTTTCTATGCACTCAGTATTTGAACTCTACACTTCTGTTTCTTGCATTTTTCTGCTTCTTCGCCTTTAAATGAGTGGATGGAGAATGTGGCCCTAGCCCTGGCACCCTTTTGGCTGTTGGCCCACATAGCTGAGGCATCCCACTCTCATCCATTTCTAATGCAAAAGTCCTCCCCACTCTCGATGGCAACAGCAAGGAGATGTTAGCCTATGATTAGCACCTACTGTACCATCCATACGTTAACTTACTTTTTGCATTGATGGGCCAGTGGTCAACACAAAGTTCTGTTCTCTATACAACATTAGTTTTTGTCTTTCTCGGTCTATCTGAATGATCTAATACACAGCATTGCTGCTGAATCAAAGTCACTTAAGCATTTTATCTTCTACTGAAGGCCAATTAACTTCCTTTCTGTTTTTTTGACTTCTAATCACGCTGCTGTGACAGCTTTAAACACATAGTTCTCATCTTTTAAAATATTTCCTCAGTTGAAGTTTCTAGCAATGGGATCCATCAATCATTGCTATGCTGATTTTTATGGTTTCTGTCCTCCATTGAGATTTTAAAATTCTG